CCCCCGCTCAGCCCCAAAGAAGAACAAAGTGCAGACTGAGGAACATAAAAACCCAAGTCGAGCAAACTGGGGCCGACATGTGGCCACCGCCAGGCTTCAAGTTGCATACGCAATGCAATGCATTTGCAAAGCCTTCGGCCGACAGCATGTTCATGCGCTTCTCATCCAGTTCAATGTCAAAGGGCATCGCGTCACGCCCTTCCTGGGCGGGAGCTGACAGTTGATGCTGACGGTCGATAACTGCCTTTGTTCTAGACCACAAACCCTCTAAACACAGCAAACAGGGCACAAAACATGGGCGAAAAGGGCTCAAGTTGAAAGTTACAAACAAGCATCCATCCACTCGGCCTTTGTCACACTCATGTCACCGCTAAAGACCTCAAAATGGTCCGTTGGCTTTGACCAATCCAATCCTGGCACTTGAAACAGCAGGGATACCACCGTTGCGAAGACCTTGGCAAGCTGCGTTGTTTACAATGGTTTCAGGGGCATAATCACCAAAAGGTTGTTTACACATGTCTATATGGATCCCATCTCAATTGGACTCCTTTTGGGGTGTGTGTCTGAAGCCTTTGTAAACGCTTTACAATCTCTCAACTTTTTTGGTAAGAGCAAATTTCAGACAGTAGACAAACAATCAACTTACAATTATATAGAGCTATCCAAACCAGGCCACAAGCGGGGCCTGCATGGCACGCAAGCCGTCAAGCAACCACGACCTCTGTTTGTCCTTCAGGTTCCGCGGAAGGTTTCCCAGCTTTCCTGGCTGGGTACCACATTCAAAGGGCAACGCCCGCCGTGCGAGCTTGACCCTCCGCTGAACGGAACCGGCGCTTGCACCTTTCCCCATCAGGCGCAGTACAGGCTCGGCCAAAACCAAACAAAGTGCACGAGCCAAAAACTCGAAGTTGCACACATCCCACACCTTCCATCCCTTTTTGAAATCATAAACTCCAAGTATAGAGAAAAACGAATTCTTGACTCTTCATGACCTTGTGCATGTTGTGAAGATTCCAGTTTGACCCAACCCCGTGCAGAGTCCTTGCCACTTCTCAGGATGTAGGTCAAAGGTACCTGGAGTGCAGACTGTGTTTCAAACCTCAACCCACCATCGTCATGTTCAGCGTTTTTTGGGCAGACTTTGAGAGGGAGGTGGAAGCGGTAGCTTACACTGGAATGCTGAATATGAAGCGTAACTGCACACGACCAACAGTTTTTCTGGCCATGCCATCGATGTTGATGGACGCTAAATGCACAAACCCTCGAGACCTAAGAGAGTAGATTGCGCAACCCCTGTCATGTCTTCAGACATGAACCCAGAAACATATTGAAAGATTTAGAACCCTGCCCTTCTCGTGGCTTCCTGCCAGGCGAGCACGGGGCCACCGTACTTCGACCAAGTGACTTGCCCCTTGCCGGCATTTGCATCGGCGGGCAAATCTGAACTCAAACGCTTGACCACATAGGCCCGCTGTTTCAGTAGCACTTCGATAGCCTTGGGATCTTGAGTATAGGGTGGGCGGTGGAGACCCGGGAACAGTGATTTGATATGGTGGGAAAAAAATATGGTTGCCCAAATTATGAAGAGGTTTGGCTGTGGAAGACTTCTAAATTTCTAAAGGAGGCCAAGTCACTGCACCTGACCTGTGACGAAGGGTGTAGCCATGACGCCCCAAATGCTGCTCACCTCTTCGAGGGCGCGCCTCCACCGGCACACCAAGCTCTGCCAGGTTGTGGGAATGGAACTTGTCAATCACCTCACCAAACTCTCCATGGCCCAACTCAGACATTTTGTCCTCGATCTTGGTGGCTGCCATGCGTTTAGCCTCATCAAAGGAGTGCGCAACACCCTTCAGAGGGAACCCAAATAATATTGCACGCATACATGAGAGTCCTTTTTAAACTTTTCTGAACTTCTATCAAGAAACTGTTTGAGGTCCTACAACCGGAGGTGGTGTCTGGCGCAGGGCTGCGTCCACCACTTCCATCCTGCGAGGCCGCTTGGCAGCAGGCGTGACAGTGCTGGAGTCATCTTCAACGGTTGGCTCCATATTCATCATTCGGAGAGCCTTGTTGAAGGGCAGCTCGGGCACCTGGGATTGTGACGCATCCGGACAGCGATTATTGTATTCCCAACCACCCCAACCCCTGGAGGAAAAACAACTTTGGGTTCGAGTTTCTGTACCGAGACACCTTTTTAGAACTTGCACGAGGAGCATCCTGGGCATCCTAAAGGGTTTTGAACTGGTTTCGCACGTCAGACTTGTTTTTAATTGATTACCTACAATGAGAGGTCTTGACCTCTCTTGACAAACCTGGAGTACGTCGAGCACTGAAGTGGTGACACACAATGCAAAGATTTGTGATGCGGCGAGGTCCTTGTGAAATTAAATTGACCTATATAATATCTCGTGATCAGTGACCAGCTGACAAAATGCAATGGGAAGCCTTTGAACTTTGGACGCATGGCAAAACGCGTTGCAATCAATCCCTGTCCTCGGACTTCTGCTGAAACAGCCACGCCTTGTAGTTTTTCGCGTCTGCCAGCTGGTCGTAGACAGACTCCCCATGAGAATCCAGAACCCGCTTGCACCAGTCCGCATACATGTCCCAATCAGACCCTTCCATGTAGACGTGCATTTGCTCTTGCAAGTCCCAGCGAATATCCAAGATGAAGTCTTTCACTTTCTTCTGCCATGTTGCAGCTTCTTCTTCCTGCCGGGTGAGCTCGGACATGGCTTTGCCCAACCACGCCGAAGACACCTGTGAGTCCCGATGGTCTGACTCTGACTCCTCTACAAACATGCGCTGGACTCACTACTCTTGGGCGAGGTCTCACCAAGGCGAAGGGTGGTGCTCGTGCACTCAGTTTTGGCCACAGACTTCGCATCGACTTCCTCTGAGCCTGTGTCTGATTCTGCAGATGACATGCTCGCATCTGCGATCGGCGCTGGAGCTTCTTCCACCGGTTCAGGTTCACACTCTTCTTCGGAGTCTGGTTCTGGCTCTTCTGACTCTGGGTCAGACACTGCCAACCGATCATCATTGTCCATGTCACTTGACGACTCAGGCTCTTGTCCTCGTCGTCGACGGCGGCTCGGCTCAGGACTGGGAAGGAGAAAACTCTTGAGCCGGCGGATGTTGTCATCCATGCCACCAGTCTTTGACGACCTCCACAGGGCTCTCAAAGCCCCCACACACTTCTTTGCCTTGCAAGCTTCGTAGGCTGCAAGCTTCACGCGTGTCTCCCCGGGCTGCGGTCGGAAGAGCTTCTTGCCCAGCACCCGGTCCAGCTCTAAGAAAGCATCCGTCATCATGTATGCACTCAGCACCTAGACGCAGCAGTCCGTTTCCATAATCAAACTTCCCATCCCTCCTACAACAAATAAACAGTTCCTGTAATATCGTGTTTGCCCCAATCTCAAACCAAGCCTTGCTCGGCGAGTAGTTCACCAATGGCAGCAACCACATGGCGTTTTGAGAAATCTCTTTGGCTGTGGGGGTCTTGACATACTTGCTCTCTGGCAGAGCGATCAGCCCTCCTCCTTTGTACTCCGGGTTCTCGAGGAGAGAAACGACGGTCGGTGGTAGGTTGGCGTGAAGCTTCCCGGCCAACTCAACCTGAATGTGAAGGTGACCACTCTGTTGTTTCATTGTGTTTCATTCCATGGCTACTTTAGAGACACACACTTCGGGCGCAATTAGTTTCACACATTCCAACTGTGGAAGGGTTGCATGGTCAATAGGGTTTCATGGTCAATAGGGGTTTGTGGACGGCGCAAAGCACATGCTGCCACGTGGCCACATCCTCCTCGCGCCAAGGAATCTTGCCTGGTCCTGGGCCGGCCAAGCTTGTGAAGGTGCGGCGCTTTGAGAGGTCGAGAGGGAAATTGATGCGTCAAACAAAAAACTCTTGAGACATATAGGGCATAGTGGTGCCCACAGAGCAAAACAGTGAAAACATTGTGATCAAAACGAGGTTCTGACAGATCTCCATTCCCTGGACTCGCGAGGAAGCTGCTCTACGATCGCCATGCCGTGCACGTCAAGGCGAAGCCGGGCAGCAGACTATCAGTCAAAACACTCAAAACCAAAAGCTCATGGAAGACAGAAATTGTTGAACTGATCACAACTACACACAGGAAGCGTTCACAGTGAAATCTTATCCATCCATCCTCTTGACCCTTAATTCTGATTTCAAATATAACTACATTTAGGAAGCTTTATATATAGGTCCTTATCTATGGATCTATCTATCTATCTATCTGTCGTGCGTTGATTTATGTTTTTGTATATTCATAACGAAGGAAGACTTTCCATAGGCTCTCATTTGCCACGTGTGTATGAACTCTTCTTCTGCGGTTTGTGGCGTTTGCCGGGAGGGCACTTGGCAGTAGCTCCTCGTGCCACCTCAGGCGGCTATAGCTGGATTGCACGCTGGTGAGAGAGGATGAGCGCATGGGTCTTGACTCATGACTTGGGAGGGCAGATCAAGAGGGTGGAAGGAGTCGCATCAGAACACTTGTGAATGGCACCCACTGCATCGAACAGCGTTTCAACTCTTGCAAAGAGCAGTCCAAGCCCCGCGCAAGTCGACACGGTCAAGCCGGGCTCCACAGGAAGATGGCAAAAAAGAAACTGACACTCTCAAGTCTCAAGTGTTGTGAAGAATCTGTCAACTCTACGTTCTTTTATTTATGTTTTTGAAACATGGTTCAAACAAACGTGTGAAGCGAACATCTTCTTACATGAAAGATCATGAAGGCATGTCACGGCCGCGGTCTCACACACAAAGAGTGTGCCCAAAAAAACTTGCACAGCGGCCGCGTTTGCGGCCATCGTCTGGGTTCGAGGCTAGGGTGTAGGCCATCGCTACTAGGGTGGAGGCCATCACAACTGTAGGTTGGAGGCCATCGTACTACACAGGGTGTAGGCCATCGCTACTAGGGTGGAGACCATCACAACTATAGGTTGGAGGCCATCGTACTACACAGGGTGGAGGCCATCGCTACTAGGGAGCGCTGGGCGTTTTGGATTCTCTTGTAAGCGCCCCCGCTTTGGGAATGCGAGGTTCCAAAAACACCAGAGAAAACCAAACAACATTTATTCCTGGCCAGGTCCTGCTCCAAAGGCAAGCAGTCGAGCTAGGTAATCCCCCTCAACTTTGACACCCTTGCGTTCCAGTTTCAGTTTTGTTTCTGTATGCGCGATATGTCATCACATGTTCAACGCTGCACTAAAGACACACTATTAAAGGCCTAGGCCATAGGACAAGAGTCAAGAGTGTTATCCGTAGAAGACTGTCAAGCAAGGGTGTTCCACAAATGTGTCGCGCAAGAGTTGAGCACAAGAGTGTCAAGCAAGAGCGCCCTAATACCAGGTCTTCCAAAAAAATGTTGCGAGCAAGGCGGTTGCTCATGGAACTTTGCACTTTGTGTACCTTTACTGTGTCATCCCTGGCCACACCTACAAACGAGAGGGCTCGAGCAAAATGACAATAGCACCTTGTCGTTTGGAGAACCGCTGTCCAAAGGACAGGTTTGGATTCTCTAGGTGGTCGGCAATCCATCTGGCGTAGTGAAGGACACTCTCAAGAGCAGTCCTGCCTTCCCCTGTCCGGAAGGGGTTTTGCCATTGTGTCAGTGGCCAACGATGGGAGAAGTGCCCGGGGCCGATGTACACGTCCATGTC